ATAGAAACATACGAGATCCACGTGTTTAGCGTTGATTCTTCAAAAGATAGATATCATCTGGCGTTCTCTCTTCTTTTTGGCCAGAAGTCGCGTTGGATCGTTCCAAACTTGCTGGCGGTCCTTTTGGGCTTTGTGCGCTTCAACTAGAAACTTGGCCAGAGCCATAATTCGCTCTCAGTGTTGCAAACATTGTCTCCTGACCTGCCTTTTTGTTGCCCTCGTACGCTCTGGCCACAGCCAGAGCCCATGTGTTGTACTGGTCGCTCTCACAGAGTTTCGATTTTATCATCCAAAGCGAAACTCTGAAAAAGAACGCTGACATCACTCCGTTCTTTCGGAATGTTTAACGCCGTTGCGGTTTTCTTCAAGGTCCCGGACTTGCTTTTAAGTGCCGCCAAATGTGGGAACTCAAATGTCTGTCTTCGGAGTTATGGTGGTCAGTACTCACTGTCTGCGACGTGTGCTTCCCACAGAGCCGCTGGATTTGAACGCTCGAATCTTTGTTCTTGACGGCGCTCCCACTCACAGTAGACGTTGCATCGCGCAGCATAAGCGTTAGCAACAGGAAGCAACTAATAACCGAGATCAGGTGGAGCCTGGCAGTTATTGACACCGACATGTTTTACCGCAAATGAGAAATGATATTTTTGCTGGTAGCTCATCTAACTTAGCTGCAGCGCTCAGATTACCGGTACTGTACATGCTTGCTGGGATTATGCGACACGTTTATAAGGACTACGCGTCTTGGTGTGATTACTGTAGCTCTCAAGAGCTCTCAGAGCTGGTACATGTAAAGCCTAAGATTAAAGTTCAGATGTATCAGTTCCCAACTTTCTTTTTTTAAATTAAAAGTCCAAAAAATCATTTTAAAAGTGTCATAACTTGATCAGTCTTTTGTTACGATTATCATACATGTAGTGTGATGCATTACAATTAGGTCTTGCACTTGACAGCAAGTAAACACTTCTCGTCCCATCTCTTCTTGTAGTATGCAGCAATGCGGCGGCCATCCTCTCGCAACGTTTCCCACTCGGCACGTTCTTCCGGCTTGAGAGAAGGTAGCAGGTCCCTGGTCATGTGGAAGTCCACTTCAGTGTCGTGCAGCATCATCGAGTCCGTCACCAGATCATAACGAAGACGCTCATATCCACGCACAATTGCCATTTTCCGCAGCGGGTCATTACTGAAGACCACACGCTCTCCAAACGGAATTTTCCGCTTCAGCGAACGTCCAACGCCAGTCTGCGGGAATCCTCCCATCGGCAAGCCAGTAATGTCCGCGAGAGTATTTAGAATATCGTACTGCTCTGCTGCGTCGTCGAGTACAAGCCCCACAGCATCGCCTAGTCGACCTTCGGCAATGATCGCGGCAGCCACACGCGTCACAGCTTCCTCGTGCTCGTTAAACTTGTCAATTTCTGGCGCTTGGCCATGGTCCCCCAAGATGACAACGACCGTATCGTTGAGGATTCCCTCCTTCTCCATGCGATCCATGAACTTGCCCAGCTCCATATCTGTAAAATATCTCACTGTCGTATAGTTTTTGACCCTATCTGCGTGTAATTCGCCCTCGTACATGGCTGAAAAATCTGGTTTTTCGGCCTCTTCGTACCACTTGGGCCAGGATTTGTACGGCTCATGACTCGAAATGGTATAGTGGGTGACGAACGTGGGCTTCTTTGGCTCTCCCTGGACCTCTCGATCCATCTGCTGTTGCCTCTTTTCCAGTAACAAATCTCCTAAAAAATCAAAACTGAGGTCGTCGTGGACTCCCCAGACCAAACCTCGTCGTTCGTCACCGAACAATTCTGTTCTCGTGATATTTAGTTTCTTTTCCGCAATTTTCATCATTGTGTACGCGTCCCACACGTTATCGTAGCCATGCGACGGGAGGAAGACGTCCCACGCATCGAAATATAAAGTCGATCCCGTCGTGAAATAAGTCTCGTAGCCTTTCCGAGAGAACAGTTGGGGCAGTCCTGACAACTAAGTGTCATTTTTTCCTCCTGTGATCCCACTCTGTGTGTTACTGTGGTAGGGAACTTGCGCAAATAACAGACTTTCCAGAGACCGACTCGTCGGGATACTGGACCAAATATTGCGCATGGCGACGCCTCGCTTCGCCCATCGGTCGAAATTCGGCGTTATTGTCAAATTTGTGCCTTTGAACAAGTTTGACGGGTCTTCCTCTCCCACGAGGTACCGCGAGTCTCGGTACCGGAAAGATTCCACTCCAATGATTAAAACATTTGGCGGGCTGTCGTTGTATATTGTGACGTTAAAGGCCAGCTCTCCTTTGAAGCCAGTGGTGCGTCGGTACAGTGTGTCGTCCCCAAAGCGCTCGTGTTCTTCGGCCTTGTCGATGAACTCCTCCACCCACGGTTTATTGCCGACTATGTTTGTGAGCTTCACCTCGATAGGAGTAGGTTCAAACATGTGAAATAGCAACTCGTTAAGCGTTACGTTCAAGGCCGCGTACGCCACGAGCGGCGAGCAAGCGCTACGGACTGTCACGGCAATCGCAGGGACAACCACTAGGCCCAGGAAAACGACAGCAACGCGTACAACTCGATCTCGAGTAGATGATGTACTGCTCAGCTTGTTTGTGGTTGCTTTAGCTGAGCTGGTGCCATCTTCTAGCGCCAGAGCTTCATACTGGACATCTCCCTCGCTTTTCTTCGACCATTTCCCTTTATTTGTGTTAATCGCGGGACTCAGTACTATTTGTATCGGGTTCCAAAGTGGGCTAACCTGGCCCAGGCTCGCACCAGTGCGAAGAGTGCAGCGATAAGAACAAGGTAACCTGTCGTCGCATAGGCGATTTGAACCTCGTTGGTTGATATCGGCGCGGCTTTAAGATGTTCCCGCTCTCTGATCAAAGAAGCGAAAAGAGCGAAGGAAAAGCGCATATCTCGGTACACTACCAACATCATATCTGCTACGAACGGTGCCATTATCGCCAGGCAGAGTAGCCACGACACAGTGAACGTGACAAACCGTTTGATCGCACCACAACGTGCAATAACGAAGGTATCAAATATCCAAAGCGCGGTTGCGAAGTACGTCGTACACACGAAATCCTCTAAGAACCCAAGGCTCAGCGATGAGATCTTGACGACTACAGTGTAGTCGTTAGAGCTTCCGTACATTGTCACCAGTGCTTTGAGAGCGAGGCAGCGACTGATGGAGAAGTAAAATTGAACGAAAGCGTAGACGAACAGCCATCCCATCCACGGAAGAGAAGTGAAGCCTACTCTTCGCCACCTCTCAAATGACGAGCTCCATTGCCGAAGTAGCTTGGTATCGTGCTCGGTGTGTATGAGGTCGTCAGTCTTGAGCGAGCGTACTTCTGGGAAGCGGAGCCGAGTCGACTGTAGATCGCTCTGGTGGTGGTGATGAAGCGACGCGTTCGAGTCCATGGAGCTAGCTCCTCCACAGCCCCGAAGATTGGTGAATGAGCACTGAAGCCGCACCCGGGACACGTCAGTTCTGACCAGTAGAATTCTTCGACCTTAGCGCACGTTGTGCGGTTCAGCATCGCCCATTCTGATGTTACGGCGACGTCTCCTGAGAAGACTCTTCTCGACGACTCGTCGCTCGTAATGCCGATCACTTTGTGTGGTCCACACAGGATATTAACCAGGGTACATTTCTCCGGGGAGGAACAGTCGAAGAATGTACAGATATCATGCACATGTATTACATGTATACCATTACCCCTATTAAACTTTATGTGCTGAGCCCAAATCGTTCTAAAGAGGGTATTTCCTTTCTGTCGACGTCTGAGTCCCATTGATCGCAGTAGTATGCCTCGGACGTCACTACAACTGATGCTCCTAAAGGAAACTTGCAAAAGAGAGTTCTTGTTCGTGGTGGAAGCGATTTCCCTAATGTGGCCGGAGTTTGAAGCAGGAAGAGACTAATCGTCAAAGGAAATTCCTCAGTTTTCCACCGGAAGCATCCAACTGGCATCGGTCGCGTAGTCTTTACCAGCACGTTTCATCCTCTAGATGAAAACGTTCTAAGTACTGTACTGCGAGTGGGAGATAACTCCAGCTGCTGTGCCATTGATGGAGATGGGACTGAGCGAGTGTTTTTTCAGAGATCTTACGGCAAAGCTGTGATACCTTTGACAAGATCTTGCTGGAAGACAGCCCTCTGTACTCGAAGTAATTGCGTAATTACTCGAGCTTTGACAGCAAACTGCTTGTTCCAAATCCGGCTAGACTTTTGTTCTCAATGATGTTTTTAAAGCTTTAACTACATCTTTTTAGAATCATTTCGCTAAACCCATTAGTCAACTCATCGGAAGACGCGCCTTAAATTGATGCAAAAGCGCCGTATAGTTTCCATCCGCCAACGTTTCGTTAAGAGCGTCCATAAGGTAGCTTTGATATCCACTCCACTTCGAAAGAGTATCGATATCTGTCTGAGCACTGCCCCCGTTCTTAAGCATCAAATTTGCTAGCAATCTATATCGCATCGCTTTCGCACAACTACGAGTTACGCTCATTGATATCCGATTTGCTCCATATTATTTCTTACCATTACTATGATAGAAATACTGAGGACCGAAGTCGGATTGGATTACAAATTTCACTGGGGTAGCCGTCATTGTGGACAATTGGCGACGTTAAGAGCGCGATTTACTAATCCAACAAGTGAAATTAAAGACGATTGGTAACAGTATGTTGAACTTACCTTTTGGCATATTAAAGAACTAGGAATTTACCATTTTGAAGTTGAATAGGTGTAAATATTATTCTTATCTATCGTCTATTCGGTCTCGTTTTGTTTTGCGTATCTAACCAGCCATTCCCCTACCTACGGTTTGAGTTCTATTCCACATTTAGAAATGAGAAGAAAAACAACCATTAATAACGAACCAAATCGTTTGCCGTTAGATTAGCGGCTGCCTGCTTACTCTCAAGCTCGTTTTGACCCTCCTTTTATTTCCGCATCTAGCTTTAGTAGAAACCGAGAACCGTCCTGTTGTCATTAGGATGCGCGTGAAGCTTTGAAGAACGTGTCGAAACTGAGATAGACACCCAAGTACTTCGGGTCGCTCATGTGGAAGGCTAGTGCGTAACTGAGTTCTTTCGGGTTCCAGTGTTTTTTCCAAATCCATTGCTCGAACTGAAGCTTTTGCAAATTGACGATCGTTTCATCCGTATTCCCACTTAGATCAAAATTGATCTTAGCTGCATTAAGTGCTCGTGCGAGGTCCAGATCATCATCAAAGCGTTTCGCTAGGTCCGATATAATAGCGAACTTGTCCGGGTTTTTCTCCTCATCTTCATTGTGTAGAAGTAGGAGACCCACCTAGGAAAAGCGGGGTCAAAAAAAAGATCATCCCCTTCCATGTGAAGCTTAACACCTTGCTTACGAACGTCGTATAAGACGACATATTATTTTTGTTACGTCGTATATTACGACATTGCACGAAGGTCATTAGCAAATGGCTCGGAAAAGTTTTTTCAATACTTTAATCAAGTTACCACAAAAATATAATCTGCGAGAGGTCATTTTGCTACAAGTCAAAACCAGGCCAGGGGAAGGGGATCAGCCACGTCGTGAACAGCCACTCATTCGACATTTTGCTGGATGGTGCGCATACGGAAGAGTCGACGCGAGAAACCCACACGATATTGACTTTGGCCACTTATGGCGGCAGCTTCGGGCGGCGGGGTGGAAGTCCAAGCGTCCGAGTGGCCTCCAGACTGAGTGGAGCTACTCGAGTCCTGACAACACGCACGTCCTCGTGGGGGAGAAATCAGTCGTGGACTACGCGTCCGACAGTGGCTTGCTGGAAGAGGCGGATGCTGATGCTCAAGTCCGAGATGAAGGAGGTGGGGAACTAGACCAAGCAGGAGCTGGTAGTAGTGGTGAAGAGCAACAACACGAGGGGGAAGACGTCGTTCGGCCTTCGCAGATCGACACGAGTGTCCTTCTTTCGCAGCATACAATTGATCGAATGTTCGGCACCCCAAGTGATGATGACATCGAGCTGTCGCAGACTACAGTGAACAGAGCATTCAATCTATCCCCAGGAGATCTACAAGACGGCGGTGCCCGCGAGGCCGCTGCTGGACTGCATTTACTTTCGGAGGCTTCTGGATTAGAGAGCGAGGGTGATGTAGACGAAGAAGAAGCCGCTGCGTCTCAACCTCGACGACGGACACTTACGCCGTTATCAGGCAAAGAGGACGTGAATGTTTTGCTGGATGGGGAGAAGCCGAGTGACTACGAGAACTACAGCTCGGGTGATAGCGACGACGACGGCATGAGTGATATTAACAGCGATTCCGGAGCCGGGATGTCCGAGGAAGATGACGACGTCCTGTCCGACAGTGACGCAGTTGAAATGGACAAGGCTTTCATTGCGGCACTACAGGTGGGCAATAACGCACTTAGCAGAACCGCTGCAACGGAGAGAGAGCAGACACTACGAGGAATGCAGTGGACGCCAGTGTCTTCGGAGTACGAGACAGATGCTGCTGCGTACCCTGGACTTGGCACCGAAGAAGCAAGGCCTGTGCCCGACCTGCTGCAATTATGGAGATCGCCAATCCTCACCTTCTTTTATTTCATGCCGAAATCTCTGTGGGTTTCTATCGCGGCTGAAACGAACCGATATGGTCTACAGCAAGCTGGCAAGCGCGCCCGTAACATTCAAGCACGGCAGACTGACCTTCGGCGTGAAACTATCAAGCAGATTACACGTCGTTTGAAGGCTAAGGCAGCATACTCTACACACGAGATTCTTCACGTTGTTGGACTCCTCGTTGCACGGATGCTCTGCCCTCAAAAGAAACGATTTGGTGCGCACTGGAGTATGGTGGAAGACGGTGCTGTTCCCGCCGGTCTTTTCGGGCGGTTCATGACGCGTGACAGGTGCCAGAGTATCATGCGAGACTTGCACTTCGTAGACAACACGATTGACCACGGTAACGATAAACTCTGGAAACTTCGCCCCGTTGTTGACAAGGTCCAAGAGCGCTTTTTGCTGGGGTGGTCTCTTTCTGCTATTTTTTCGTTTGATGAGGGTATACTGCCGTCCACGTCGAAGCGGAACACGACCCGGATGTTCATGGCCGACAAGCCTCACCGCTACGGGTCCAAACTATTTATGGTCTGTGACGCGCAGACGGCATACTGCCACAGGTACGTTTAAAATTTGTATGTCGTAACTATCTACTTTGTGTTTGCCTGACAACAGTGAATGTCGTAACTAT